TATGGATTAAATGGGTCTTGGATTCTTCAGTTTTCCCTTACAAAGGATCTTCTATATCATGTGAAGCTTTTCTTACAGCCTGAGTTCTCTTTATTTTACTACATGTATCAGGTGAGTCCATATATCTGGACTCACAAATGTAAGACACCTGTTAAGTGAACCCAAGTTCTGTGGAAAATTGGTGCTTAAATCAGGGAAAATAAGGTATGCTATTTATTTAAGAAGAGTACTCATGACTAGGAAGAAACCTAATAACCTATTTATGCTTCTAATTAGCTTTCAATCCAATACCAAAAAATAAAAATTAGTAACTGAGTTAGGCAGTAATAATTTGGAAAAAAATTGTTTCATATGTAAATGTAGGCAGTAATAATTTGGAAAAAATTGTTTCATATGTAAATGTTGCTAAAGGATTTTGCACATTAAAGGTGAATAAACATGTTTTTCTCCTTTTTGCCTGATACGCTACATAGAGAAGCATCTTGGACGATTATCCCTGTGGAGATTCCTGAAGAGTACACTGAAGGTTTTGCAGGTCTGTGTTCTGCCAGCAGCTCCTCCAGCAGTATTTTGTCCTAGGGGTATAGCAGTGCTTCTGTGCAGTCTTCAAGTAGTAAAAAGGTTGCAGTGAATGTATTATAATTGTCTTTTATTTTCTTTGATTCTTAAAAAAATAGCTATCCTTCAGGACACCTTTATATCATTTAATATTTTGGGATTGCAGGGGCAGAATAATGATTAAAAATTTTTGTGGCTTCAGGCAAAAGATATAAAACAACATGTATGCATTTTACTATTTATATTGAAAGTTAACTCCAGAAATAGATATCCCCTAACACAATTATATAATCATCCAAAATCATAAAAAGTAAAACAGAAAAATGACTCCAAGGTCAGTATGCATTCTTCTCTTGCAGTGGATGCTCCATCATTAAATCTTCCCTCCTTATCTTTTTCTTGGGGGGCAAGGGGACGTGGCTCCATAAATTACAGCTCTGCAAACGCTTATTGAGCTTCAGGGCAATACTTTTCAACAGTATTTGGTCTGAGTACTTAAAAATAATTGCCATTAGCTTTAAGAAAGAAACTCTTAAAGATATCTCTTTAAAACTAGCTTGAGCACTGATGGCAAGTGGGGGGTCAAAACAGTTTTGGAGGAAAATAAGGTTACTTAATAACCTTTTCAGGAAAAAGTGTAATTTCTGAAGTGCAGTTACTTCAGCTTTATCATTTTAGGAATAGGTACAACGAAGATGAAGAAATCCTTGCATGTATTGAGTTGTGAAACAGTCAATATATTAAAAATAATTTTTATTTTATTTAGGTGACAGCTGAGTTACACTTCACCCCCTACTCCAATATGGAATATAATACCTTACACTTTTCATTGATTTCACATTGACTAAGACAAATTTTCTTTTCATGGTATTTGTTTACTTGGGTTACAGTTGACTTATTTGAATCATTATACTAATTTAAAAATGGAGTTAAAATAGAGATGACTAATTCAATAAAAGGAAAAGGCATATATTTTTGTATGAACTACAAATTCATTGCTATCAAATACAAATATGATTTTCTAAAATAGGTTTTGAAAGTAAAATTGATGCTTATGGAAACAAATTCAGTTTAAGCACCCGACAGCTAGCTTTTCTTCTTCTTTAGCCTTTTGTTAGCCAGATACTAGGAAAACAAATGTGAGACACAGCCCTGCTCTTGAGGAGTTCACAGTCTTGTGTCGAGTCAGACAGCCAGAGGGGAGGGCGAGGGGATAACAGGGGAAAGAGGGGAAGGGTCCTCCAGGACCCAGAGACAAAGCTGGGGATGCAGGGCGGGTAGGACTGAGGGTAGGGGTAGGGGATGGGGGAAAAGGGAGACAACTGTACTTGAAAAATAACAAAAATAATAAAATTTACAAAAGGAATAATTAGGATGCATGAATACAGTCAGTGTAAAGCTGATGTATGTATGAAAGAGTTGGAATTATTTACCTGTTTCTGACTGCCAAAATTGTAGAAGGGAAAGAGTGGAGGGTAAGTGCTAAAACTATTTTTAAAACACACACACATTGCTGCCACCAGATGGTGAGTAACATGGTACTTTGAGGATTTTCATTTTTTAAAATATTTTATTTATTTATAGAGAGAGGGGACGGGAAGGAGACAGTGAGAGAGAAACATCAATGGGTGGTTGTTTCTCACGTGTTCCCTACTGGGAACTGGCCTGCAACCCAGGCATGTGCCCTGACTGGGAACCAAACTGCAACCATTTGCTTCACAGGCCTGTGCTCAATCCACTGAGCTACACCATCAAGGGCTGAGGATTTTCTTTTTAAATTCAGGGATTGCTAACTTTTTTCATGATCATTTAGATCAGCACTTTCTCCTGCCATCTGGCATTTTTGTTTTTTAATTGTCTCTTATTAATTGTACTGAGTATACAGAACCCTCATAAATCTTCAATGTGTAGCAGATAATATGTGTTTGCCCCATCTTTTTGTTTTTTCACTGTTATAATAGGACCAACTCAGAAAGCCAGCATTTGTTCATTTCCAGATGGGATCACTGACAAGAGATGTAACTATTTAGGAGTAATTACTGGTTGGGCTTCAGAAGAGAGGCCGAAACAGAAATATCCTGACAAGCAGGTTATAAAACAGTATTCTTTTAATAAAATAGTACAAATAATCCCTCTTGGAAATGATTATTTCATCCTAAGAACAGTGAATTCTAGTCTTTTAACATAACTGAGCATGTTAAAGTGATTTAGGCCACATTAGATTATGAGTAGAGGCTATTTGGCTGGAAATACAATATGCATAAAACAGTATAAATATTTATTTTAATTAAACTACAGTTGACTATTGAAGAATGTGGGGTTTAGAGACACTGTCCACCCCCCACCACACAGTGAAAATCCACATGTAACTTCTGACTCTCCGAAAAGCTAGTTGTCCCTCAGTATCCACTGGGGATTGGTTCCAGGATTCCTGAGGATGCTCAAAGTCCCCTGTATAAAATGGCCTAGCTGTCCACATTTGTGCGGTATTCCCAAATACTGACCCAAAACAGCACAGTACTGAAAAAAATCCATGTATATGTGGACCTGCACCATTCAAACACGTGTTGTTCGAGGTTCAACTGGAATATATATAGGGAATAGTATTAGGAATTAAACACAAACTATACATATATAGTTTTATTTTTTCTGGAATGAATAATAAAGCATTTGCCTCCCATATAATTTCATAATACAGGTAATATATATTATATATTAATTCCCACTTTTGACCTTATAATTCACACTTTTATTTCTTTAGGCCAGTGAAAAAATTCCTTACTATCAAATTATTGTCAACAAGTCTAACAGAATTGGGATACCCTTGACCTACATACCTAGGAAGGACAATTATGGGATATGATGTACACTATCTTAAGTTACAAATTATTTTTATTTTTCCAGATCTTATTTACTTAACATTAAACTCAATTTGCCCGTCAAATAACTATACTGATAAAAGGTAATTGCTACCACAAAAAAAGTAATTTAGCATAAAACTGAATAGAATCCTAAATTTTATCACTAATATTCAGAAACCTATAATAGCATTTCCTTTTATAAAGGAGCTTCAAATATAGCAGGTCTGTTTCAAATATTCAATTATAAATTTTTTCTTTCAGAAAACAGCAACTATAATTTGCTGCTTTCTGAAAAGATTTTTTAAAAGGAAGTTCAGAAGGAAGGAATTTCATTAGGATTAAGTTCAGGCTAGGTTTATTCTAGTAGGCTTTGTGGTAGAGGGCCTCAGAGTAATTCATTGTGAGACTCTAGTGTATGCCAATGTGTCAGAAATTAAATTACCATCAAGTGTCCACAAAATCTGATATGCTCTTTGTACACAGGATATCATACATAAACCAGCCCAATCTTTGAAGAATTTCTTTTCTTAGCTGCTCTGCAGAATTGTGCAACTGCCATTTTATAGAATATTTGTGAGGCAACATTAAAAAAATTCCTGTAAATCATAAAAAGTGTTTATAACTTAAAATAATATTTGTTTCTTTTCAAGCTAAGTTGAACAGCTTCTTTACCAAATGTGATGGAACCAAAAATATAATGAAGCCATGACTAAGAAAAATCTACCCACATAATTAAATTTTTACTGAGTATACACAACTTTTTCTTGATATACAGCCCAAATTGCACTTTCTGCTCAACTGGTTAAATAAAAGCTAAGATACGAACTTTTTTAAAGTAAAAATTCAGAACTTCCGGCCACGATGGAGGTATAGGTGGACACACTGTGCCTCCTCCCACAACCAAAAGGAGGACAACAATTTAAAAACGAAAAACAACCAGAACTGACAGAAAAATTGAACTGTACGAAAGTCCAATAACCAAGGAGTTAAAGAAGAAACACTCATCCAGACTGGTAGGAGGGGTGGAGACAGCAGCTGGGGGGAGAGGACTCTATGCAAGGAAACAACTGAGGACCAGGGAGGGCAAGGTGTCAGCTGGCAGACCTTATACGAAAGGTTAGAGGCCTTATTTAAGAAAAAGAACATGATCAAAAGTATGAACAGTAAAATGACAACTAACTCACAGTTATTAACAGCCACACCTAAAGCAAAAGCAAACTAAACTACGAACAGGAACAGAATCACAGAAATGGAGATCACATGGAGGGTTATCAGCAGGGGAGTAGAAGGCAGGGAGAGGGGGGAAAAGGCATGGAGAATAAGTAGCATAAGGGGTAGAGAGAAAATAGACAGAGGGAAGGTTAAGAATAGTATAGGAAATGTAGAAGCCAAAGAACTTACATGTATGACCCATGGACATGAAGTAAAGGGGGAGGCATGTGGGTGGGAGGGGTGTGCAGGGTGGAGGGGAGTGAAGGGGGGGAAATGGGACAGCTGTAGTAGCATAATCAAAAAGTGTATTTAAAAAAATTCAACATATACTGGTTTTCTGGTAACTTTATTTTTTAAAGAGACTTTATTTTGAGAGGGGAAGGGAGAGAGAAAGAGAGGGAGAGAACATCAATGTGCAAGAGATACGCCAATTGGTTGCCTCTTGCATGCCCCCAACTGGGTACCCAGCCTGCAACCCAGGCATGTGCGCCCTGATTGGGAATCAAACCGACGACCCTTTGGTTTGCAGACTGGCACTCAATCCTCTGAGCCACACCAGCCAGGGCATATTTTTCGTATGACTAAAAATTCATCTTAGCATTAGATTTAGGAAAGTCAACTTTTAATTGAGCTGACAGTAATCAGAGAATATAATGATAGTTGTAGTTGATATTATGGCTACCATTTTCTGAGTGACTACTATGTACTAGGCATTAATTTCATGGTTTTATATTTATCAACTTTAATCTTACAGTATTACTAGTTTCATTTCTCTCTGAAGAAAGAGAAGCTTAAAGAGATTAAAGTGCCTTGCCAAGTTTACACAACTGGCAAATTTTCTGAGCAAATATTTGTTGTGGACTTACTGTTGGCCCTGACACCATCCCAGGTGTGAGAATGTAGCACCCAAGAAAGAAAGGAAAGACAAGATCTCTATTCTGAAGATTACACTCTGGGAGTAATGTCAGGATTTGAATATAGTGGTGTCATATTCTAACACTTTCATCTTAGCTTCCACACTCCTTACTGCCAAGGACACTACAGAAGAAATGGATAAAACTGTTCCAATGCCGCTTACAGAAGGTGGGGATAGAAACTATATATTGGAATGTGTTGTAGGAAAGAAATACTGGTATATAAGTATCAAGATATCTCAAAGGAAAAACCTAGGCTGTTATTGTGGGGAATGGAAGGCCTATGTAGATGATGTGTAATGTAAAAGCAACGACACATACACAGTTACATCTCAAATACTCTTAGGATCAGTATTATCTCAGTGTATTAACCCGCCCTGTTCAACATGGTGGCCATTAGCTATTATGGCTTTTGAGCATCTGAAATGTAGCTAGTATAACCAAGGTAACTGAATTTTAATTTTTTAAAAATTTTAATTTAAAACAATGGTTATACAGCTATTAGATCTTTTAAGCATACTTGGAACAAGCTGGGTGTGTGAATCTATTGTTTTAAATAAATTTTAGAAAATAAATACTGATCAAGTATTTCTGATGAAAATTTAGCACCTGAATTGAGATACAGGATATACACTGGATTTTGAAGAATTAGTATAAAAATGAATTATTCTGAATACCTGTTCATTATTTTTAAAATATTGATTGCATGCTGAAATGATAATATTTTGGATATACTATTAAATAAAATATAAAATTAGTTTATACTTATTTTATTTTTTTAAATGTGTCTACTAGGAAATTTTAAGTTACATATATGGCTTGCATTATATTTGTAGTGGAGAATGCTGTTATACTCAAAGAAGCCCTGATGAAGAGCTTATATATTATCTGGTCCATGTACTTATTATTTCTTATTTCTGGCATGAAAATATTTTCACAATATACTTCCTTACCCATTTATCAAATTACAATTGCTTTTCATTCTTTCTATTAATGTTAATAGTCATATGAATAATAGTGTCAGCATTTCTCCCTATAATAGAAATATAAAAGTTACACATGCAGTAGCATAAATTCATTGTACAAATGTGCACATATTTATTTCCAAAGAGTATTTCCCAAAGTGAGGTTTTAAAAATAGAAAGTAAACATAAGTATTCTTTGGGACTATATTCAAGGATTCACAAATTTTGGGAAGAACACATTATATACTCTATATGTGTATGTATATATATTCAGGCAAAAGCAAACATTATAAAAAGTATAAAAATAGACAAAAAGATACAAACACAGTACATTTTGGTTGGAATTTTAGAGATGGTTTTTTTTCTTCTCTTTCCCCTTTACTTCAAAAGTTATAAATACTTTTGAAGCAGCATGTATTGTTGCACTTTTGATTTTTTGTTGTACAGTTAATGAACTTGAGAGTCTGGATGACTGGTGATCATCTATTTGGTCTTCCCATTCTTTAATTTCTTCTTCTTTAATTAATAAAGGTTTTCCTAGAGTTTGGCCAACAAGGTTACACACTTCTTGAGCTTTGCGCCATGCATTCTCAACAGCAACAAGACAGGCTTGCCGTCTTAGGAATTAAATGCAGAGGTTATTAATATGGCATTCAATGAACTGTAGCACTGAATAGTTTTTAATTAATTGATAATTTAGTTAAAGATATGTTTAACTTACCGAAGAGTCTCAACAGAACCTGGAGTGTGATAGAACCGGGGCTGGCTGATGACAACAGAGCTATCTAGCTTTTCAACAAGAAAGTTACAAATATTTTGCATTTTTCCAAATTCAGTAAATGTAATGCAGACCTGTAAATGAAATGACACTTGAAATTATTTTCATGCCTGACACATTATTTCAAACTTTTCTCTAAATGTGAATTAAAATAGTAAAAGCCATATTACAATGCGGTCATTTTATAGTATGTAACAGATATGAAAAGCCTACCGGACTTATTAACTAAATTATTTTGTTATTAAATTTTGTGCTTATGAATTTTATAATTTAATATTAACTTGAATATTTTAAAATACATTTAAAAGGAGTCAGGAACTTTCTATGAGGAATTGGAGGCTTCCCCTTTCAACTTTATTATTTGGCTGAATTCTAATTCTGATAAATTTTCACGACACTTAAGTTAAATCTACGCTATTAACTTCCTGATTAGCAGTATTTACACCACACTTCACTGCTGTTAATGAGATGTTTCTTCTTTCAGTAGTCATTTTCAGATATATGTGTGGAAACTCACCTATTTCATTATGTCCTGTCTTTAAAAATGTGGGAGCAATCCTTATGCAATACTTTAATAAAACTGTAGACTAAACATTTCTTCCAAGGAAACTTTACACAAGCTCAAAATGAAAAATAAAAAAAAGGTCAGGTACTGGAGAAGCAAAGATTTTGAAAGAGACAGGTAAGGTGACCTTCCAAGTGATCTCATACGATGCAGAATAGTTGCCTTTAATCATTAAATGCTATCCAGTGAAGACTCATATGCTATCCAGTTTCAATATTAAGTAAATAGTGTATTTTATAATCATTTTGTCTTCTATTTTTTAAAAAGCTGACTGGGATTTTGATCAGAATTGCTATGAATCTATAGCTGGTATATCAATAAAGGAAGAACTGATATCTTAATGACATTGAGACGTCTAAATCATGAACAAGGTATGTTTCTCCATTTATTTATGTCTTTTAAAATTTCTCTAAGCAATGATTTGTAGTTTCCAGCATACAGCTCTTTCACATTTTTTTTAATCCTCACCCGAGGGTATATTTATTAATTTTTTTTAGAGAGAGGAAGGTGGAGAGAAACAGGAGAGAAGAGAGAGAGAAAGATCGAGGTTGAGAGATTGAGGTGAGAGAAAAATACCACCTGGTTCCCTCTCTTACATGGCCAGATGGGGGACTGAACTCAAAACCCTCAGAACTAAAGTATGTGTCCTGACTGGGAATCAATCCTGCAGCCTTTTGATGTAAAGAAAAACACTCCAACCAACTCAGCCACCTGGCCAGGCCTCATATTTTTTTAAATCAGATTTATCCCTAGGTATTTCATATTTTTGCTGCTTATAAATTCCAATAGTGTTTTTAAGGTTCCCTCAGATTTTCTGCACAGTCATGTTGTCCATGAATAAAGACAGTTTTACTTCTCATCTCCAGTCTCAATGCCTCGTACTTCCTTTTCTTGCCTGACTGCATTAGCCAGAAAACTTCAAATATAATGCTGAATAGAAGTCGTGACAATAGATATGTTTGTCTTGTTCCTGACTTTAGGCACAAAACATTCAGTGCTTGTTTCAGCATCAAACATGTTAGTAGATTTTTCACAGATTCCCTTTGTCAGTTTGAGGAAGTTCCCTACTATTCCTGCATTGCTGAGAATTTTTATTAGGAATAGATGTTGGGTTTTTGTTAAATGCTCTTTCTACATCTATTGAGATGATCAGTCTACGGCCATACCACCCTGAACGCGCCCGATCTTGTATGATCTCGGAAGCTAAGCAGGGTCGGGCCTGGTTAGTACTTGGATGGGAGATGATCATATAGTGTTTCTTTTTTTATTCTATTAATATGGTAAATTAGATTGGCCAATTTTTTAATGTTAAACCAACCTTTTATTCTTGGAATGAACCATACTTGGTTATTCTTTTTTATATATCACTGGATTTCATTTGCTAGCATTTTATTTATAATTTTAGCACAATGTTTACAATGGCTATTATCTGTAGTCTTGGGGACAGTTTTTTGCTTGTAATGTTTGATTGTTTTTTACCCCCAGGTTTGTTATCTTCTGGGCCTAAATTATGCATTGGGAAGTATTCCCTCTTCATTTTCTGGAAAAGTTTGTATACCAATGACCTTATTTCTCCCTTGCATTTATATAGTTTCTAATTTTTCTTTTGACCCATGGATTATTGAGAGGTATGTTTTTTTAATTATAAATCTTAAGGGGATTTTCCTGAGATCTTTGTGTTACTGGGTTTCGAATGTAATTGTACTGGGTCAGAGAACTTACTTTGTATGATTCAGATACTTTGAAATTTATCAAGACTTGTTTTATGATTCAGAATATAGTCTACCTGGGCAAATGTTCCATGTGTCTTGAAAGGAATGTGACGTCTGCTGTTGTTGGAATTGTCAAGTAGGTCAAATTGGTTGGTAGTGTTCTTTAAATCTCTTACAGTTGTATTGGTTTGCTGTTTCACTTCATTATTAAGAAAACTCCAACAAAAACTGTAGATTTATTTCTTTTAAGTTCTATCATTTTACCTTTCATATTTTGAAGCTTTGATATTAGATGTTTATGTATTTAGAATTATGTTCTCTTGATTGGCCTCATTTGCCACTATGAAATCATCATTTTTATCTGTGGTAATGTTCTTTGCTTTGAATTCTATTTTATGTGATATTATGGTTGTTCCAGCTTTCCTTTGATTCATATTAGCATGGCATGTCTATCCATCTCATTTTTTAAAGTGAGGCTTATTAAGGTGTAACTTACATAAAGTAAAATACACACTTTTTAGTATATGTCTAATGCATTTTGACAGATGCATTAAGTCATGTAGCCATGTAGTCATCCCAGCCCCTGGAAACTACTGATTTATTTGTTTGTTTTTTAAACTTTATTTTTTATAGTAGTTCCATTTAGCGCCTGCTACCACACATGTTTAGACCTCCTCCATAATCAACATTCCTCACTAGAGTGGAACATGTGTTACAATATATGAACCTATAGACACATCATAATGACCTTAAGTCTATAGATTACATTAGGATTCACTCGTGGTATTGTTTTTTCAGTATGTTTAGACAAGTGTATAGTGAGTGACATGTTCCTAACATTATAGCATTGTAAAAAGTATTTTCACTGCTCTAAAATTCTCCTGTGCTCTCCCTATTCATCCTATCTTCCCCCTAACCCCTGGTAACCAGTGTTTTTCCCAGAATGTCATATAGTTGGAATAATACACTATGTAGCCTTTTGAGATTTTTTCCTTTAAGTTAGTAAGAGGCATTTAAGGTTCCTCCTTGTTTTCATAGCTTGATAACTGATTTCTGTTTAGTACTGAATAATGTTCCATTCTCTGGATGTACCACAGTTTATTTATCCACTCACCCACTGCAGGACATTTTGGTTGTTTCCAAAGTTTGACTGTTATGAATATAGCTGCTATAAATATCTGTGTGCAGGTTTCTATGTGAACATAAACCTTCAATTCCTTTTGAGTAAATATCATGGGCTGTAATTGCTGGGCCAGATAGTAGGAGTATGTTCAGTTTTATAAGGACATTTGTGTTCCAAAGGGGCTGTACCATTTTGCAGTCTCCCCAGAAATGAATGAGTCCCTGTTGTTTCACATCCTTGTCAACATTTGGTGTTGACAGCATTCCAGATTTTAGCCATTCTAATAGGTGTGTGGTGGCACTTCACTGTTTTAATTTGCAGTTGCCTAATAACATGATGTGGGACATCTTTTCATATGCTTACTTGCCATCTGTATATCTTTTAAAAAATATGTTATTGATTTATTTTTAGAGAGAAGGGAAGGGAAGGGGAAAGAGTGAGGAGAGAAACATCAGTGTGTGGTTGCCTCTCATGTGTCCCCCACTGGGGACCTGGCCTACAACCCAGGCATGTGACCCGACTGGGAATTGAACTGGCGACCCTTTGCTTCACAGGCCCGTGCTCAATCCACTGAGCTACACCAGCCAGGGCCATCTGTATATTTATTTTTTTAATTTTAATTTTAATTTTTTATTGATTATGCTGTTACAGTTGTTCTATTCCCCCCTTCATTCCCCTCCACCCTACCCCCCTGTCCCCACCATTACCCCCCTTTAGTTTATGACCATGTGTCTCAAGACCTTTAGATTCTATATTTCCCATGCTATTCTTGCCCTCCCATCTATTTTCTATCTGCTGTCTATGCTACTTATTTTCTGTACCTTCTTCTACCTTCTCCTCCTCCCACTCCCCTGTTGCTAACCCTCCTTGAGATCTTCATTTTTATGTTTCCACTCCTGATCTAGCTGTCCTCTTAGTTTGCTTTTGTTTTAGGTGTGGTTGTTAATATCTGTGAGCTTGTTGTTCTTTCACTGTTCATGTTTCTTTAACTTCTTTTTCTTAGATAAGCCTCTTTAACATTTCATATAAGGGCTTGGTGATGATGAACTCCTTGAATTTGGTCTTATCTGAGAAGCACCTTATCTGTCCTTCCATTCTAAATTAAAGTTTTGCTGGATAGAGCAATCTTGGTTGTAGGTCTTTAGATTTCATGACTTGGAATACCTCTTTCCAGCCCCTTCTTGCCTGTAAGGTCTCTTTTGAGAAATCAGCTGACAGTCTGATGGGGACTCCTTTGTAGGTGACTGTCCCCTTAGCTCTTGCTGCTTCTAGGATTCTCTCCTTCATTTTTATCTTGGCTAATGTAATTACGATGTGCCTTGGTGTGTTCCTTCTTGGGTCCAACTTCTTTGGGACTCTCTGAGCTTCCTGGATTTCCTGGAAGTCTATTTCCTTTGCCAGATGGGGAAATTCTCCTTTATTATTCGTTCAAATAAGTTTTCCACTGGTGGCCTTTCCCCCTTCTGGTACCCCTATAATTTGGATGTTGGAGCGTTTAAAAATGTCCTGGAGGTTCCTAAGACTCTCCTCATTTCTTTGAATTCTTGCTTCTTCACTCTCTTCTGTTTGGCCATTATTTGCTTTCTTCTGGTCCACTCCATTGATTTGAGTCCCAGTTTCCTTTTCATTGCTATTGGTGTCCTGTGCAATTCCATTCATTTCAATTAGTTTCGC